GCGAGGGAGAAAAGTAGAGATAATAATAACGATTGCTTGATGTTATCAAGGGACGTGTTAATACACTCGTCTCCTTCTCTCTGGTGACAGGCGAACTTGCCCGTCTTTTATTTTGTTTGTGGGGCTTGAAAAAGTCATTTGGGAATTCACTCCCGGATATGATTTGGGCCTTTCCATTGAACGACAAACAAACTTCACGTCGGCTCGCGAAAAGATCCGTAAAAGAATTCGTTTCTGAGAATTGAAGATTATCTGAATTTTGTTTTTAAATGTTTCCTATTTTTCTATTGGCTGAAAAACATTTCGCATCAAGATGTGAAATTTCACAAGTTATGTTTTGGATTCGCTTTTGCATGTGTGTTAAGCAAAGTTTGTAAATTCAAGTCTTTTTAATTTCTAACAAAATCAATGAGTCAGTGCTTAGCATTTTTAAATCTAGATCTTGTTTTGTTCACTACAAGAACACACTTTATATTCATGAGGGATTATAAATAGGTGCATACAATTCAGTTTATTTACTAAATTCAATTATTCCTTCAGATTTTAAACGTCATAATTGCTGACTCTTTTTCCGTTGGATATTTACTCCCTCCGACACTTTGTTTGCACATGGGGCATAACAACTAAAATCAGCAAAGGTATATATAAGCAGGATAATTCCTCATTTGAGAAATTCCAACAAAATTTAAGCTTTACGCTCAGAAAATATAGACAAAGAATAACAAGACAAGAAAGAAGGATGACAATATACATGCCCTTGACACACCTTTTGATGACAGGTATTTAAAGAACTTTCAATAGACTTAGACCCACCTGCAACAAGTAATTTAGTAACAAAACATGGTTAGTAAGAAATAGTAGAAAATGTACCATTTGTATAAATCACGCTTAGAATACTCATGCCACAAATGGACTGGTGCTCCTGCTATATATTTAGATATTCTTGATAAAATCCAAAGAAGAATCAGCAATATTATTGGTCCTGACCTTGCATCTCAGCTTCAGTCACATTCTCACCACTGTAACACAGATTCTATGTGCCTTTTCCATAAATAATTTTTTGGTAATCTTATGATGAACCTTCCTCTACATTACCTAGAATTTATAAATTTAACCCTAGTACTTGATTGGCAAGTTTCATCAATTCACATTTGAAATGGCTAAATGTAACCATAATTTCTATGCTAATAGTCTCTTTTCTCACACTTCTTAATTGTGGAACATTCTCCTAGCTCCATGCTTTCCAGCCAACTTTGATCTTCAAAAATTTAAATGCAATATCAATCATTATCTACCGTCTTTACTCTTCTATTGTTCTCACTCCTTATTAATGTTTCTCATTTTTCTTATCCTTTCTCATTTAGTAAGCCTTTGTGTCTCAGTAGCTTTACTGCTTTGCATGGGGTGAAATGGTTAAAAAAATGACCAATATGTTAGTTGGAAAGCAAGCTTTTTTTTAAAATTTATTTGAGCCAGATAATGGGTGAACCTATCTACTCCTGTTGAGGAAAATATTAACAATAAGTTTCAGAGTTTGGGTGTGAACTTTAGAAGTATAGAGTTGAAGTAGACTTTAGAGGTTAACTGGAAACCAAATCCTAAACAGGAAACAAAGGATAAACCTATACTCCTGTTCAAAAGGCCTTGGTTTTCACTCCTCCTTTTGAGCAGAAGTAGAGGTTTATCCCTTGTTCCCTGTTTAGGATTGGGTTTCCAGTTCCTTCTTTTCTTATTCCCTTTCACTCCCAGTGGCCCCCACCCCTTGCATCTTAGCGGCATTATCACCTTGCTTAGGATGAACTGATTAAAAAGAAAATAAGTTATCTTCTCTATATATACTCATCTCCTCTTCTTGTGCTCATACAACAACCTTATTCAGTAACACTCTAGCTTGAGGGTCTCTTGGAATTTGAAATAGTAAAACAAAGTTGGTGAAAGAATTTCATTATCTCAGTGAATTATTTTTGTTTAATACTACAGATTAATGAAGAAATCCAAAAACGCTATCCGCAACACATTTCATGATTACAATTTGAAGAACATTCAATTGCCAAGTGCCCTAGTGTTTGGTATCAAAAGCCAGAAACTGACAAGCAAAGACAGATGAATTGATTTATTTGCAAAAGCCTGACACATTAAATCAGGCGCCAGTTACACCTTCCATGTTTGGCCAGGTGCCAATGGACTGTTTCTCTTGAGGAAGTGAGGAATTTAGCAACTCCTAGTTTTATTAAGAGGGAAATGACTGATAGGCAGTGGGTACTAAGATCAGTATAAAAATGAGATACCAGTTCTTGTCAAAGCTTCTTCAGGGTGTGGTGATCATGGCTCCCCACAACTTCCTGTTGTTTTTTCTTTTGTTATTTCTTCTAAACCTTTCTCCATTTACTCAAACTTATTCTTCTTCTTCTATATGATTGTCCCTTCAGAATGTTGGTGATCATGGCTCTCCACAACTTCCTGTTCCTTTTTCTTTTTGTTATTTCTCCTAAAACTTGCTCCTCTATCCATTTACTCAAACATATTCTTCTTCTTCTATATGATTATCCCTTCAGAATGTTGGTGATCATGGCTCTCCACAACTTCCTGTTCCTTTTTCTTTTTGTTATTTCTCCTAAACCTTGCTCCTCTATCCATTTACTCAAACTTCTTCTTCTTCTTCTATATGATTGTCCCTTCAGAATGTTGGCGATCATGGCTCTCCACAATTTCCTGTTCTTTGTAGCTTTTAACAAATGTTACCTTTTTGTCATTTCTTCTAAACCTTGCTTCTCTATCCATTTACTTAAACTTATTCTCCTTCTATATGATTGTCCCTTCAGAATGTTGGTGATCATGGCTCTCCACAATTTCCTGTCTTTTGTAGCTTTTAATAAATTTTGTCTTTTTGTTATTTCTCCTAAACTTTGCTCCACTATCAAAGCCTTTTCATGTCATTGGTGATCATGGCTCTCCACAACTTCCTGTTCTTTTTTTTTTTTGTTATTTCTTCTAAACTTTGTTCCTCTATCCATTTACTCAAACTCATTCTTCTTCTTCTATGTAATGTGTCCCTTCAGAATGTTGGCGATCATGGCTCTCCACAATTTCCTGTCCTTTGTAGCTTTTAATAAATTTTGTCTTTTTGTTATTTCTCCTAAACTTTGTTCCTCTATCTATCTTCTTTTATATGCCATGTCCCTTCAGAATGTTGGTGATCATAGCTCTCCACATTTTCCTGTCCTCTGTAGCTCTTAATAAATTTGGTGTTTTTGCTATCTCTTCTAATGCCTGTTTTGCCAACCATTTACACAAACTCTTTCTTCATCATCATCTCTGCATCATATCCCTTCAGACAAGGGAGAGAAAGGAAAACAACACATAACACAGACATGGTCACTAATGTGATGAAGAGACATGGCTCATGGTGGAAAACAAAGAAGAAGAAGAAAAAAGAAGACAAAGAAGAAGAAGAATGAGCTTGAATAAATGGATGTCAAAACATAGTTTAGGAGAAATAAAAAAAAAGACAGAGTTGAGTTATCTAGAGAAAATAACTAAAACTGAGATATCCAAAGGCATGGTATGTGGAATTAGAACAATATGACAATAAAGATGAGGACAACATTCCAAACAATGTAAATAGAATAAGTAGTTACAATACCTCATCTCAGAAATATAGAAGGATCCTGAAGAAGTCTGGAATGTACAACAGTTGAAATGTCATGAATATGACAATAAAGATGAGGACAACAGTCCAAACAATGTAAATAGCGTAAGTAGTTACAGTACCTCATTTATAAAATATAGACATATCCTGAAGAAGGTCAGAGTGTACAACAAAATGTCATGAATATGACAATAAATATGAGGACAACAGTCTGAACAATGTAAATAGAGTAACTAGTTATAATACCTCATTTCTGAAATAAAACATATCCTGAAGAAGGTCAGAGTGTACAACAAAATGTCGTATATATGACAATAAAAATCAGGACAACAGTCCAAACAATGTAAATAGAGTAAATAGTTACAACACCTCATCTTAGAAATATAGACATATTCTGAAGAAGGCCAGAGTGTACAACAGTTGAAATGTCATAAATGTGACAATAAAATAAATAGTTAAAATACACAAACTCTGCTTGATGAAAGTTGAAATCTGTGGATTCTTATAAGAAATTTTTCCCAAAAGTAGGATGTTAATTTCTAACCAATAGATGCTTTGATTTAAACCATGTGTCTTCACTCAAAATGCACAGTCAATTAGATGCAGAACTGGTGCAAAAGATATTTCTGTGGATTTTTTGACAAGATAATTTGGCTTCCATCAAGCCTTTACATTAATCCTATGGACTTTGTGACATGACCCATATTTTAAAGTAATGTTTTCATGTCTCTCATACTCAAATGTTTCACACCTGAAAGAAACTCTTATGACACTATTGTACAATTTGTGTGAAGAAGTGATAAAGAAGTCATGTACTTCAGTTGAAAAGAGATTTATGGCTATGCTGAAAGCAATGTAGGGAGCCATTTTGAATTGTGAATATGTGTGGTTGACTCATTTTTTATGGCTTATCAACCCTTTGCAGGTTATTTAAAGCCAGATAACATTTTTAAGTTTGTAAGAATATTTTCTTTGAGATAATAATGGTTTAGTGATACAAATCTTACTAATTAACCCATAACTGGAAGGAGAAGTGGTGGATTCATACCTATCCAAAAGATATTTATGCATATGCGAATATAATGAATCAAACAGGAATGGAAACTTGGCTCTCTAATTAAAAATTCCGAGCCATTATCCATTACACCACCCACACATTCAAGCATACAGTACCAGGTATTCTTAAGTGGTCACCCAGCTTGGTACAGACCAGGCATGGTGTGGCTTAACTTCAGAGGCATACATACAGAAACTGATGTTTCAATGTGATTTGGCTGTAAACCATGTTATTTTTAATCAATATAACAATCAGCATGAAAACAGTCATTAACCAAAACCTAAAATTTTTGTTTTATGATAAAAGGAATAATGGGTAAAGAAATAATGGGTAAAGAAATAATGGGTGAAGGAATAATGGGTAAAGGAATAATGGGAAAAAGAATAATGGGTGAAGGAATAATGGGTGAAGGAATAATGGGTGGAGGTATAATTGGGTAAAGGAATAATGGGTGGAGGTATAATGGGAAAAAGAATAATGGGTAAAGAAATAATGGGTGGAGGAATAATGGGTGAAAGAATAATGGGTGGAGGTATAATGGGTGGAGGTATAATGGGGTGGAGAAATAATGGGTGAAGGAATAATGGGAAAAAGAATAATGGGTAAAGAAATAATGGGTGGAGGAATAATGGGTGAAAGAATAATGGGTGGAGGTATAATGGGGTGGAGAAATAATGGGTGAAGGAATAATGGTGAAGAATAATTGGAAAAAATAAAAGAAATAATGGGTGGAGGAATAATGGGAAAAAGAATAATGGGTAAAGAAATAATGGGTGGAGGAATAATGGGTGAAGGAATAATGGGTGGAGGTATAATGGGAAAAAGAATAATGGGAAAAAGAATAATGGGTGGAGGTATAATGAGTAAAAGAATAATGGGTGCTGTTATAGTGGTTAAAGGAAAAACGGGAAAAAGAATAATGGGTAAAGTAATAATGGGTAAAGTAGTAATGGGGTGTAGAAATAATGGGTGGAGGAATAATGAGTAAAAGAATGATGGGTGGAGGTATAATGTGTAAAGGAATAATGGGTGCAGTTATAGTAGTTAAAGGAAATATAGGTGAAGGAATAATGGGTAAAAGAATAATGGGTGAAGGAATAATGGGTGGAGGTATAATGGGGTGGAAGAATAATGAGTAAAGTAATAATGGGTGAAGTAATAATAGGAAAAAGAATAATGGGTGGAGGTATAATGTGCAATGGAATAATGGGTGAAGATATATGCCATTCACATTACAAAATATATTGCTTCATAGATTTGTTTTTTATGGCCTCATAAGTTATTTTGAATTTTTGTTTGTGAGTGAATATTGTATTAACAATAATTTTTCCAGATATAATTTCTACTATTTATGCCATAGCTGGGGGGAGGATATGGATTCATACTTTTCCCAGCGGTATTTGTGCATAAGTGAACGTAACAAATTTGATTGGTATTTGAACTCGACTCTCTGGTTTCCCATTTTGAACTGCTACCAATTACAATATCTATATATAGTATATGATAATAATAAAAGATTAGGTAATCTGAATAAAACACACAATATTAGACAGAATGAGTTATGGAATAATGCTAAAAGAAGTGAAGAAAGAAAACTGCACCAACTGGAACTTTGTGATAACCCCCTCCCCAAAATATGAGTCAGAATAATTTATGAAATAATGGTATTTTTTATGCTATTGTTCACTCAATATGAGGCTCAAGATCCACTCCTGGTAGAGGGTTACTGAAGTAGAATAGGATAAGAAGTGCAGTTCAGATAGGTAATGATTGATCTTGGATGTGAGGAGGTTAAGATTTTAGCGATCAGGAAAGCATTCTCTTAGGAGTCTGTTTCACAAAATAGCAGCTCTTTGGAAAAAGTTATCCAAATTGAAATTCTTTTTACCAATGAAATATAAAAGGAATGAGGATGATTTGAACCTGTTTACATGACATAATGGGGTCTTAGCTATGACAGTCTAAACTAATGGAACTAAGGAATGTAGCTCATCCGAACATTTGCCATGGAAATAGCAATAATGTATCAATAGGCTTGCGAGATTTGGTAATGTTTCATCTCAATTTTGGACAAGGAAAGCCAAAGAATTCTTCATCTGGAATCAACTCATAAAAATATGGGTCAGAACTTGTGGAATAAATATTTACCTAATTTTCAGACGGTGAGGAAGGCTGAAGAACACACAAGCCAGAAATTTGTGGTAAAAAACTAAAAATCCTTAGGATATTATTCAGAACAATTAGTAGAATAATGATAATGTTTCATCTTGGAATTTTAAACAACAAAAATAGCCAAAGAATACTTCAGATGAAACCTAATAAAAATTTGGTTTTGAACAATGTTCAAAATAATGCTTATAATTAATTGAAGAATTTTAGAAAAAGAGGAAAGTTAAAAAATACATTGACAGGAAAAGCCAACATAAATTAGTGAATTAACTTTTGGTAGATTGCTAGAATTTATGATTTTAAATGCATTACTAGACTGACGGCAATGTCTCATCAATATACAGCTGAATGAATTAGATATAACTGTAAGTTCTATGATAACAGTTTCTTTTCTCGCACTTCTCACTTGTGGAACTCCATGCTTTCCAGCTAACATTGATCTTCAAAAATTCTAATGTAATGTCAATCATTATCTACTGATTTCTTCTATTGTTCTTACACCTTCAAAATGTTTTCTGTTTTTCCACACCCAGTAACCCCTTGTGTCTTAGTGGCTTTACTGCCTTGATGATTAAAAAAAGTTAAAAGAAAAAAAAGAACTTGTGGAGTAAAGATTTAACTCATTTTCAGACAGTGAGAAAGGCTGAAGAATACATCAGCCAGAACTTTGTGATAATGTAAACTTCAATGCAATCCCACCCAAGCTTTCCATCAAGCAGTTAACATTAACCCACATTGCATTTCAGTTCTCAATCTCGTAAGTGTACACTGAAAGCTGGGAAAGGGTGTGATGCATGTTCACAAGGTAAACGCAATGAAAGACAAATTGCTACTTGATCTCTGAAAATCCCTCATCCACCACTTTACTTCTATCTGACACTTCAGTCAAAGTGGATACCAATTAGAAGACAGAACATCTAAAGGAACCATTTGAGTGCACATTGCAAAAGCAATAGATCTCTTATAAAGGCCAATCAAAGTACTAATAAAGAGGAAAATTTTGTTAGAAACAATGAAAAGAGAGCTGAACTGCTATGTAATATCAATCCTCCTATATAGCAGTGAATGCTGGACAATTTTCTCACAAATGATGAGAAGATTTGAGGCAATAGAAACAATGAAAAGAGTGCTGAACTGCTATGTAATATCAATCCTCCTATATGGCAGTAAATGCTGGACAATTTCCTTAGAGATTAAAAGAAGACTTGAAGCAAGAGAAACAATGAAAAGGGTGCTGAACTGCTATGTAATATCAATCCTTCTATATGGCAGTAAATGCTGGACAATTTCCTCACAGATGAAGAGAAGACTTGAGGCGACAGAAACAATGAAAAGAGTACTGAACTGCTATGTAATATCAATCCTCCTACAGATGAAGAGAAGACTTGAGGCAAGAGAAACAATGAAAAGAGTGCTGATCTGCTATGTAATATCAATCCTCCTATATGGCAGTGAATGCTGGACAATTTTCTCACTGATGAAGAGAAGACTTGAAGCAAGAGAAACAATGAAAAGAGTACTGAACTGCTACATTATATCAATCCTCCTATATGGCAGTAAATGCTGGACAATTTCCTTACAGATGAAGAGAAGACATGAGGCAACAGAAACAATGAAAAGAGTACTGAACTGCTACATAATATCAATCTTCCTATATGGCAGTGAATGCTGGACAATTTCCTTACAGATGAAGAGAAGACTTGAAGCAAGAGAAACAATGAAAAGAGTGCTGAACTGCTATGTAATATCAATCCTCCTATATGGCAGTGAATGCTTGACAATTTCCTCACAGATGAAGAGAAGACTTGAGGCAACAGAAACCATAAAAAGAGTACTGAACTGCTATGTAATATCAATCCTCCTATATGGCAGTGAATGCTGGACAATTTCCTTACAGATGAAGAGAAGACTTGAGGCAACAGAAACCATAAAAAGAGTACTGAACTGCTATGTAATATCAATCCTCCACTATGGCAGTTAATGCTGGACAATTTCCTCACTGATGTAGAGAAGACTTGAGGCAACAGAAACCATAAAAAAGTACTGAACTGCTATGTAATATCAATCCTCCTATATGGCAGTGAATGCTGGACAATTTCTCATAGATGAAGAGAAGACTAGAGGCAACAGAAACCATAAAAAGAGTACTGAACTGCTATGTAATATCAATCCTCCTATATGGCAGTGTATGCTGGACAATTTCCTCACAGATGAAGAGAAGACTTGAGGCAAGAGAAACAATGAAAAGAATGCTGAACTGCTATGTAATATCAATCTTCCTATATGGCAGTGAATGCTGGACAATTTCCTTACAGATGAAGAGAAGACTTGAAGCAAGAGAAACAATGAAAAGAGTGCTGAACTGCTACATAATATCAATCCTCCTATATGGCAGTGAATGCTGGACAATTTTGACTTGAGGGAACAGAAATGTAGTTTTACAGAAGGATGCTGAGAATACCATGGATGAAGCATGTGAGTAATGAGGAAGTTTTAATGGAAATTGAAACAAGAAAGACACTTATACTCAAAATCAGAAAGTGACAGCTGAAATTTCTTGGACATACAATGTGGAAGAATAGCTTGGAGACAAAAATGGAAAAAAAAGGAGAGGGGGGTAGCAGGTCATGTACATAAGATTGTGTGAATAGATGTTGGAATGATGGGATGGCAGAAAGTCAAATGTTACTTACAGTTACAGAGGAGAGGGAGTTATGAAGAGACATTATTATTCACATCCTGAAGGGAGAAACACACAGAAGAAGAAAAAAAATTTCTTCTGGTCATGATGAATCTGGTTGCATCTTATGGGAATAACTAAAGAAAAAAGCTTTTCTTCTTCATTTTCTAATAAAAACAAAAATAGATTTGAATTATTTCATTCATTCGTATAATGTTTCTGAAGTGAATGATACATTTTCTGGCTCAGTAGAACAGGGAATGACTCAGAAGTGCACTTGCTGTGTCCAGTTGATGCCAGCTGTCTTGTGTGCATGAAGAAACAGCTGGAAAATGGTAAGAATGAAGTAGGTCTTGAGAACATGATGCAGGATTGGTTGAAAGAGATCGGAAGGGCTGAGAAATATAAAGAAAGAAAAGAGATGACTGTGAGTAGGTAGAGAGTGCGAAAGAGAGGTGGTGAGAGAGAAAGTATAGAGAAGAATAAAAAGAAAGAGAGAAGGTGAGAGAGAAAGTATGGAGAAGAAAGGAAAGAAAGAAAGAGAAAATATGGAGAAGAATGGAAAAAGAAATAGAGGTGAAAAAGAATGGAGAAGAAAGAAAGAAATAGAGAGAGGTGAGAGAAAATATGGAGAAGAAAGTAAGAAATAGGAGAAGAAAAAGAAAGAAAGGAAATAGAAAGAGAGAAGAAAAGAGAAAGGGAGAAGAAAAAGAAAAAAGAGAAAAGGTATGGAGAAGAAAGGAAAGAAATAGAGGTGGTGGTGAGAGGTGAAAGAGAGAGAGAGAAAGTATGGGAGGAAAGAAAGAAAAGAAAGAAGATGAGAGAGAAAGCATGGAGAAGAAAAAAGAAAGAGAGGTAAGTGAGAAAGAAAGGGTATGGAGAAGAAAAGGTAAGAAAGAGAGGTGGTGAGAGAGAGAAGAAGAGAAAGAATGGAGAAGAAAGAGAAATGAAAGAAAGGAGGTGAAGAAAGGAGAAGAAAAAAAAAGAGGTGGAGAGAGAAAGGGAGAAGAATGGATGGAGAGAGAAAGTAAAAAAGAAAGAAAAAAAGAGAGAGAAAAAGAGAGAAAGAAAGAAAAGGAGAAGAAAGGTAAAAAAGAAAGAAAGAAATAGAGGTGGTGAGAGAGAGAAAGGAGATGGAGAAGAAAGGAAAGAAAGAGGTGGTGAGAGAGAAAGTGGAAAGAGAGAATGGAAAGAAAGAGAAAAGAAAGAAAAAGGTCTGGAGAAGAAAGGAAAGAAATAGAGGGTGAGAGAGAAAGAAAGTAAAGAAATGGAGAGAGAAAGGAAATGGAAAGAAAAAAAAAGGTGGTGAGAAGAAAGGAAAGAAATAAGGTATGGAGAAGAAAGGAAAAAAAGAAAGAGGTGGTGAGAGAGAAAGTGAAAAAGAAAGAAAGAGAAAAGGTGAGAGAGAAAAAAGGAAGAAAGAAAGAAAAAGGTGATGGAGAGAAAGTATGGAGAAGAAAGGAAAAAAAATAGAGGTGGAAGAGAAAGTGTGGAGAAGAAAGGAAAGAAAAAGAGAAAAGATAAAATATAGAAGAGAAAGGAAAGAAATAGAGGTGGTGAGAGAGAAAGTGTGGAGAAGAAAGGAAAAAAGAAAGAGAAAAGGTGGAGAGAAGGTCTGGAGAAGAAAGGAAAAGAAATAGAAAAAGGTGAGAAAGAAAGTATGGAGAAGAAAGGAAAAGAAATAGAGGTGGTGAGAGAGAAAGTAAAAGAAAGGAAAAGAAATGAAAAGGTGAGAGAAAGGTGAGAAGAAATAATAGAGAGGGTGAGAGAGAAAAGTGTGGAGAAGAAAGGAAAGAAATAGAGGTGGAGAGAGAAAAGGTGGAAAAGAAAAGGAAAAGAAATAGAGGTGAGAGAGAAAGAAAAGAAATAGAAAAAAGAGAGAAAGAAAGGAGGAGAAGAAGAAGGTCTGGAAAGAAAGGAAAGAAATAGAGGTGGTGGAAAAGTATGGAAAAGAAAGGAAAAGAAAAGAAGAGAGAGGAAATAGTGAGAGAAGAGAAAGTATGGAGAAGAATGGAAAAAGAGAAAGAAAAAGGTGAGAAAGAAGGTCTGGAGAAGAAAGGAAAGAAATAGAGAGAGAAAAGGAAAGAAATAGAGGTGGAGAAGAAAGGAAAATGAGAAAAAAGGTGGTGAGAGAGAGAAAAGTATGGAGAAGAAAAGGAAAAAAAAGGTGGTGAGAGAGAAAGTGGAGAAGAGAAAGAGAAAGAAAGTGAGAGAGAGAAGAATGAGAGAAGAATGGAAAGAAAGAGAGAAAAGAGAAAGTGGAGAAGAAAGGAAAGAAAGTCTGGTGAGAGAAAAAGGGAAAGAAAGGAAAGAGGTGGTGAGAGAGAAATGGGAAAGGGAAGAAATAGAGAGAGAAAGTATGGAGAAGAAAGGAAAGAAATAGAGGTGGTGAGAGAGAAAGTATGGAGAAGAAAGGAAAGAAATAGAGGTGGTGAGAGAGAAAGTAGAGTGGGAGAAAAGAAAGAAAGAAAGAAATAGAGAGAGGAGAGAAAGTGAGAGAATGAAAGAGGTGTGGAGAAGAATGGAAAGAAAGAGAAAAGGTGAGAAAGAAGGTCTGGAGAAGAAAGGAAAGAAATAGAGGTGGTGAGAGAGAAAGTATGGAGAAGAAAGGAAAGAAATAGAGGTGGTGAGAGAGAAAGTGTGGAGAAGAAAGGAAAGAAATAGAAAAGGTGAGAAAGAAGGTCTGGAGAAGAAAGGAAAAAGAAATAAGAAAGAGAAAAGAGAGAAAGGTATGGAGAAGAAAGGAAAGAAATAGAGGTGGTGAGAGAGAAAGCATGAGAAATAGAAAAGAAAAGAAAGAGAGGTAGTGAGAAAGAAGGTAAGAAAGGAAAGAAATAGAGGTGGTGAGAGAGAAAGTGTGGAGAAGAATGGAAAGAAAGAGAAAAGGTGAGAAAGAAGGTCTGGAGAAGAAAGGAAAGAAATAGAGTTGGTGAGAGAGAAAGCATCCTTTATTTGAGAAAGAGATTGAAGAAAGAATCCTTTATTGAGAAAGAGAATGAATAAAGAAAGAATCCTTTATTGAGAAAGAGAATGAATAAAGAAAGAATCCTTTATTAGGGAAAGAGGAAGGCAAAAGAATGAATCCTCCTTCAGAGCGAATGAAAGGAGAAAGAAAGAAAGAATCCTTTATTAGAGAAAGAAGGAAGAAAGCATCCTTTATTGAGAAAGAGAATGAATAAAGAAAGAATCCTTTATTGAGAAAGAAAATGAATAAAGAAAGAATCCTTTATCAGAGAAAGAGAATGAATAAAGAAAGAATCCTTTATTAGAGAAAGAAGGAAGAAAGCATCCTTTTTTTGAGAGAGAGAAAGAATAAAGAAAGAATCTTTTATTAGGGAAAGAGGAAGGCAAAAGAAAGAATCCTCTCTTGGAGCGAATGAAAGGAGAAAGAAAGCATCCTTTATTTGAGAAAGAGACTGAATAAAGAAAGAATCTACTGTCAAACAAAGTGAAAGGCTAAAGAAAGAACCCTTTATCAAAGAAAGATAAAGGTGAAAGAATGTATCCTTTATTACTGAAAAAGAATGAATCTGATCTCTGCAAAACCATACTGTTAGTACAATTGCTATTATTCTCACAGAAGAATTTTGCTTTCATAAGCTGTCCAGTATGCACTGATCATCAACATTATGATCATTTGAAAAGCCATAAAGTTTTGCTGTTGCTAGAAAACAAAATTTTGTCTAAAATCAGTGACTTTTGATTTACCTGTATAAATAAATAGAATTCCTCTTTAAATCACTGGGATCAGGAGTTATCATTAATTACATAACTTATGTGTGGTGGTGTAATGGATATTGGCTTGGAATGAGAAATTGGAGAGCTGAGTTCAAATTCCAGTTGGGTTCGTTACATTCATTTATGCACAAATACCTTTGAAAACATATGAATCCATCTCTTCTCCCCTAGCTATGGGTTGAATAGCAGTATAGACTGGGTCCTATAGCTTGAGGTTGGCAACTAGTCTACTGCAGAATGAAAATGAAGAATAAATTTGATGGAGCACATGTTATATATTTAGAGATTCTTATAAAAATCCAAACAAGAATTTGCACATGTCGTTAATATTATTGGTTCTGACCTGGCATCTCGCTTCAGATTCTTGATTTTTCTAAAATACCAAACTGAAGAATTTCCTCTATGGTACCAAAACTTAGGAATTTAAGCCAGTACTAGATTGAACCTTGAGTTGGTAAAATGGAACTGTGAATTCTATGCTAACCAGTTTCTTTCTCGCATTCTCACTTGTGGAATTTTCCATGCTTTCCATCCAATTTTTAAAAATTTAAATGCACTAATCGCTATCTTTCTTGATTAGCCTTACTCCTTAATGTTTCTGTTTTCTAATTCAGTGTAATATTGGTTGCAATATGGGACTTACTTTAAAACCAGCCTTGTGACATATCCTATCACTGGGGAGGATACTCACCTGTTCTCCTTATTCAGCTATGAGGAAAACTGATCCAAGGGATTCTGACCTTGAGTCTCATCCTACTTTCCTGCACACTGTCTATCTTGTATATCTATAAGTCTACCATTCATTTGAGACCTGGCATCTTTTTCTAGCTTTTTTCTATAAATATTTTGTTCTGAAGAACTTTCATTTAGGAATTTAAGCACAGTTAGATTGGCAACAAGGCACACAGTTGAGTTGGTAAATGAACTGAATTCTATGCTAACAGTTTCTTTTCTCGCATTTCTCACTTGTGGAATTCTCTTCTGGATTCATGCTTTCCATCCAATTTTTAAAAAATTTAAATGCACTGTCAATCGCTATCTACTCTCTTGATTAGCCTTACTCCCTCAATAATGTTTCTGTTTTCTAATTCTTCTACACTATTAACTTCAGTGTAATATTGGTTGCTGGGACTGTGCAATTTTTGGCCTTGGCCCATGTCCACATGCATGGGACTCCCACTTTAAAACCAGCCTTAGGATATCCTATTGTGGGAGGATACTACGATAGTACCTGTTCTCCTTATTCAGCTATGAGGAAAAAACAAAGGGATTCTGACAGTCTCATCCTACTTGAGTTGGTAAAAGTAGGTGGAAAATCTATCTTGTATTCTATAAGTCTACATTCATCCATGCTTGAATATTGCTTTTCTGCAATTTCTGACCTCATCTCTTGTCATAATATATTTTTTCTATAAATACTTTCATGGTAATTGTTCTCTTCTGGATTCATTTAAGCTTTCCATCCAATTTTTGGTAAAAAACTTAAATGCAACAGTCAATCGCGCATCTACTCTCTTGATTAGCCCATCCAATAAAAAATTTAAATGCCTCAATAATGTTTCTTGATTTTACTCAATAATCTTTTTCTAATTCTTCTACACTATTAACTTCAGTGTAATATTGGTTGCTGGGACTGTGCAATTTTTGGCCTTGGCCCATGTCCACATGCATGGGACTCCCCACTTTAAACCAGCCTTGTGACATATCCTATCACTGTGGGAGGATACTACGTATAGTACCTGTTCTCCTTATTCAGCTATGAGGAAAAACTGATCCAAGGGATTCTGACCTTGAGTCTCATCCTACTGTTGTGAGAAGGTGTTTTATATCTGCTGCTAAGAAAGTAGGTTCACTGTGTCGAGCAAATCTATCTTGTATATCTATAAGTCTACCATTCATCCATGCTATGAATATTGCTGCCACATATGGTCCGGTGCTCCTAATTCAGCAATATTATTGGTTCTGACCTGGCATCTCGCTTCACTTACACTTTCCCACTGTCATAATATAGCTTCTTTGAGCTTTTTCTATAAATACTTTCATGGTAATTGTTCTGAAGAACTTTCCTCTATGGTACCAAAACTTTAGGAATTTAAGCACAGTACTAGATTGGCAACAAGGTACACAGTTGAGTTGGTAAAATGGAACTGTGAATTCTATGCTAACAGTTTCTTTTCCCATAATCAGCAATATTACTGGTTCTGACCCCCATCTGTTCAGTCACTTTCCCACTGTTGTAATATAGTTGATAAATATTTTCATGGTAATTGTTCTGAAGAACTTTCTTCTAATCTCTACTCCCCTTGTTCACAGACTTGGTCCTATAACCTTGGCTGACTGGATAGCAACCAGTCTACTGCTTCACTAACTTTATCTTTTCTCCCCACAGCTATGAGTCGAATAACAAGACAGAGTAGATTCTGTAGCCTTGGTTGGCAACCAGTCTACTACTGAAAGAAACAGCAATATACCCCACAGGAAAATCTTTTGCCTAGTCAGTAATGAATTATAAAAAGATATGACTGTCCAAGCATGTATCAAGTATGGCACTTCACTAACTTTATCTTTTCTCCCCACAGCTATGAGTTGAATAACAAGACAGAGTAGATTCTGTAGCCTTGGTTGGCAACCAGTCTATTGCTGAAAGAAATGGTAACCTTTCCTGTGGGAAAATCTTCTGCCTTGTCAGTCATGAATCGAAAGAGACATGATCATCCGAGAGTCTTTCACGTATGGCACTTGACTGATTTTATCTCTTTTCCATACAGCTATGGGTTGAATAACAGGATAGACTGGGTCCTATAGCCTTGGTTGGCAGCCAGACTACCACAGAAAGTAACGGCAGCCTACTGCGGGAAAATCTTCTGCCTTGTCAGTCATGAATCGAAAGAGACATGATCATCCGAGAGTCTTTCACGTATGGCACTTGACTGATTTTATCTCTTTTCCATACAGCTATGGGTTGAATAACAGGATAGACTGGGTCCTATAGCTTTGGTTGGCAGCCAGACTACCACAGAAAGTAACGGCAGCCTACTGCGGGAAAATCTTCTGCCTTGTCAGTCATGAATTGAAAGAGACATGATCGCGCTGGCACATATCACGCATGGCACTTGACAGACTGACATTTGGACTATTATCCTCATCATTGCTGCACTCATTGTCACCATACTTCAAGTGTTTATTATTCAGGATAATCTTCAGGGAAGTTTGAACAGAATCCTTTATTCAATCTACAAGGATCGGTTTGTGATTTTGAAGGCATTAGTAATTGTGAGTTCAATCCTTGACATGGGTAGTGCATTAACACTTCTTCCCACCTTCCATATCATCATCACTTTCACTTTAATGTCATGCATATCATGATCTCATACTATAATGATTATTTTTTACTTTTTTTTTTTTTTACAATGCTGTTAACCCTGTACAAGGCTCTGGAGCCACCAAGGTAGAGATTACAGAATAAGAAGTATAGTTTATGCAGATATGTAGAGAAGATGACAGCTAAGCCAAGACATGAATAGGTTAAAATTATAGAGATTGGAGAAGCAACCTATTAGGAGTCGGTTCCATAGAGCAGTGGTTTGTGGGAAGAAGCTGCTTGAGTTGAACTTACATATCACAAAATGGAATATGAAGGGAATGAAGCTGGTTCACTACAATGAGCATAGCATGGTGGGTCTTAGCCATAAAGATTAAAACTGGTGGAGCTAAGGAATGTAGTTCATCTGAATACTCTCTAGAGCAGCAAGGGGTTTGCAATATTTCATCTGTGAGAAAGGGGTTGGAGAGTGGAAAAAAATTTGTCACCCACAAGGACACGTTGGTGCCCATATATAACAAGCAGGATCTGGATTGAGGAGTCGGGTACTTACTGGAGCAATACAGGGAACTGACCATTTTTCTAGCATCTTTAGTGATTGATCATAAGTTTGAGTTCCACTTGAATTATGGGTTTTTTAAGTAAGAATAGGTGCTCAAGGCATGGGGCCTCACTGAGGGAACATCTGTTCATCATGATTGGTGATAATTCTTGGGTTGACTGCCAATGGCAGAAATGTCACTAGTTTGGTTTTTGAGACATTGAATGTGAGCTAATTTGGTACAGTTAGTGGATCAAGTTGAAATAATGTACAGAGACGGAACATTTTCAATATCTCAATGAATGGATTATGTGTTCTGTTTATTGCCACTTTTCCAAAATATC